GAGGGAGAAACAAGAGATAAACATCCTCTTTCTTGTGGTATACAGTGATGATTAAAATCTGAACAGATTTATAATAACTGCAGCTATTGCTGTCTCACTTATCCCTGTTCTTTGCAATATAACCCCCTTCTCACACCCAGCCATCAGTCTGCTCTTATTGAAAATTATTTTGTATAAGGAACAGGCTGACCTTCCTTCCCACCCACACACATTTGTCAGCTTTTTGCATACAATAGTGATTCTTAAATCCTTAGGCACCAAATTTCTTGCTCTGAAATCTTACAAACCATATTGTTTAATCTTCCTAGTCTGCAAAGCACTAATGAAAGTCACATATGTAAGCCTAACTTCACCGTAGGGCAGAAATCCAATTGTTGCATGTGGTAGAAATCTTATGTCTCAGCAAATTTTACATTTTCTCATGCAATAGGGGTGTTCATGCACAAATCCTGGCTTTGCATGTCAGATGTACACATCAGTCAGATACACACAAAATAGCAGTTCTGTCTGAGAAGCAGGATCCAAGCAGTGTTAGTGGCAAGACCCTGCACTGCTGCTCTCACATATTCTTGACCACTTGAGTCCCTGAGAATTGTCCAGCTCCTAACATAATAAGTCTTTTATACAAGAAAGAAACAACCGTCCCTTTCTTTTTCTGAGGCCATGACTTAGGCTACTGAGACATAGATCCAGGAAACCCAAGAAGGATGTGGTTTTTTAAAGCATCATTGACAGGTAATGTCTAGGCAATTAAATCCTTATCACCGTGTTTATGCCAGATTATTGAGCTGCACAAAGGAGTAGGCAAGAAAGCGGTAGAAAAATACTACTCCTTTTGGTTTTTTTGAACAAGATTAGAACTTCAATCTCCTTAAACAAATTGAGTAATTACTGAATTATTGAAAATACAAAAAAAAAAAAAAACCAACAAAAAAAAAACCCAAAACAAACAAACCAGAAATACACACTAATTCTGTCTGTAATACACCCCCTGTGGATGCAAGAAGAGAGACTGTTCAGGATAAGATTGTAATTTTTTACATGGGTAGAGTGTTGCAGTCTAGCTGACTCGGTGCACACATGGCACTGCTGAGAAATGTGATCTGCCTGCATCTGGGTGCCTTGCTTCCCCACAGGATGGAACAAGTGAAATGCTCACCCTACCAAACAAAAGAGTGCTCTTTGCACCCTGCGGTCAGAGTGCTGGCAAAGGGGACAGGAGAAAAGGAGGAAGAGAGAATCTGCATTTCAGAAGTAACATGGATTTGCACCATGAAGCCTTGCCCATGCCTACCTCTTTGTTTCCTTCAGATTGTACAACCATTTGAATTGATTAACTAATGGGATAAAAATTTGCAATGTTCCTAAGTAACAATCAGGTCTGTATTAAAGATAACATCTTAAACGCCTTCCATCACAGCTTTTTCAAAGTGGGGCTGACTCCAGCTCAGCCTGGTGCTCTGGTTCATGTGTCATGCATCCCTTCTGCTGGCAGGAGCTCTCTGCACTCTCACCTGAGCCCATCGGCTGACTCCTCCCCTGGGCAGGTCCCCATGGGGCTGCTTCAGCAGCTGTAGGCAGATACATCATTTGTAATCCCCCTCTCAGCTTGCCATGCCATCTCACAGGGAGGTACTATACAAAACCTGAGCTTTCCTCATATCCTGTTTCTGGCACTTCATCCTATGGCTATTAAAGGGGAAAGGGGTCCCAAAGACCAGGGAAGAAAGAATGGAAACAAAGGTGAGATGTATTTTTCCCTCATCCATCTGAAATTTATTCTACACTCCCCACTTTGAGAAGAATTGGTCTATCTCATATTCCTTCACTCTGACTGGGGTTTTAGGTTTGATTAAAAGAAAAAGAACAACAACCTAAAAGAAATCAAGGTGGCAACTTTGACTCTTCTTTTTCTTTAAAAAGCCAAAACAGGTTTAATGAAGAGTTATTATAAGGAATATTCCCAGGTGAGTTTTCTTTTGATGTCTTAGTGTGGTCTATATTTATTAACTATATATAATGCCTACTCTCAGTTTAGTGGGTATTTTTGCAGTTTATAAAATGTGATGAAAGAATGCCAATCTTAGAGTTGTGTTTCAGCCTAGCAGGCTGGACAAGAAGGAAACAGAAGGTGTAATTGTGGCAAGATGTGAATACATCACTTCTGAATTTACAGCAATCAGTAAAAGATGCTCTTTTGCTTTAGAAGGAGAAACATTTCTTAAATGGTGAGAGAGGACAGAACTACATGTTGAGCTTTTTCAGAAAAGCTTTTACTCTCACATTACCAGGAGGAGAGATGGAACCCAGCAGACTCACTTTTAAGCACTGAGGAAATAGTAAAGTTTCAGAGTATTGGCATTTTTTTAATGAAAATTGATTGATATTCTTATCCTTGCAAACATTTTTAGCATCCAAATTTGCTTTAAGTGATTTCCCCAGGCAGTTAGGTAAAGAAAGTAGCCCAGTATTATTCATCTTGCTTCATGCTGTTCCTGGTGGCAGAGTGTTGTTTTTCAGTTTCCCATGCTTTTTCATGAAAAATGAGAACACTGAATTCTACTACAGTTCTGCAGTTTTGTTTATTTTTGCAAATTAAAATCCTGGTTCACCTTTGGACCTAGCACCTTGTGTTAGTATTGGACGTAGGAGCTAGTGTTAGTATGGTGTAGGTTTGGCTGCTACATCCCTCCAGGTAAAGCATGGCTGGCAGACCTTAGACCTTCATGCACAAAACAGCCTTTTCTGTAGCACAGCAACCAGAGAAATATGCAGGATTAAGTTCATCCACCAGGTTTGTTGTGGTGGTTGAGCTCCTAACACTGTTCAGAAGGGCAAGGATCACTGAGTGTTGATCATAGAGGGTAGGAGCAGAAATTTTGAAGAAAGACAGAGGGTAAATACACACTGAACAAGAATGGGAAGAGCAGAGCTGAGGGAGAAGAAAGAAAATGAGAAGCAGACAGTGCAAGACAGAGAAATAAGTGAAACACAGCGGTGCATTGCAGGCACAAAAGCAGAAATGGAAGTGAAAGAGGGGGGGTTCCAAAGGGACACCAGCCCCAGTGATGCTGTGTCAGCATTTCTCAGCCATAGAGCACTCAGGCCCTGTACCATCCCCTGGCCCAAGCCTGGAGCAAAGGTCTCTCTCATGACTGCAGCTAAGGACACCGCTGTGCCAGCTGCCACAGAGACAGTCCTGCCCTACTGCCCTTAGCCAGGCAGAGCCACACTGAGTGAGGCACTCGGGAAAGTCAGGTTACTGCAAAGGAAGGTGGGAAATCCCTCCTGGCTAAGAGAAATAGCCTGGGGCCAAAACACAAAATCTCAAAGCTTTCCATCACTGCTGTTATCACACTTGATCTATTTTTATGCCAAAGTAGCTTCAGGTATGGCTACTGCAGCTGGCTGAAGTGAAGAAAATGAAAAAAAAAAAAAAAAGCATAGCCCTTCCATACAGTAAGTAGCCTCCCAGCAATTAGCCAGCTTACTGGGAAAGAGGAGCTGTGTGGAGTCACGGTCACTTGTTATTTTCATTCTGCCTCGTCAGCCTTTCCTCTGTCTGTGTCACAGAAAAAAGCCAGTTGCCTGAAACAAACTCCAGTTGATCTGAAGTCTGAACTAGCCCTGACCCTAATGACTCATTCCCATATTTTTGCTATTTGTTCATTAGCCAAGAAACGTTCCCCTGGTTCGCCAAATTTTCAAGATTTTCAGAATTTTCAGTATTTGGGCTGTAAGTATGGAGAGATTTTTCTTGAGGATAGTTTGACATGATCTTTCTTTGTCCACCCTTCTCTATGTGGTTATGTAGTGTGATAGACTGGAGCAGACAGGAATGTGCTCCCTTAGGCCTTCCACATTTTCACATTAGTGAGAGATAACTTGGAAGAGGAAATTCTCTTCTGGAGCCCAAGCAACATATCCTAATATTCAATTACCCTCATAGCTGTAGAGAATGCTAGTGAGGCCAGAGCTGCTTATTCTGAAGTATTTGTCTAGTTGTACTGTGTGACTCCAAGGGAACAGCTGGTCTAAATTTCTCTAGAAATGTTTATCTCTGAGCAGATTTAACTGATTTAATTTAATTTCTGCTTTGGTTTTGGTCTGTCTGGTCTCCATGCCACCTCACCACTGGGACAGCCACACTTGGAGCAGAGCTATCCTTTGAAAGATGTCAGTGATTCATAGGCTCCTACCACAGCTCCCTGCAGCAGTTCAAACAACCACTTTACTCACAGAATAAAACCCAAACCAGAATTAGGAACTTCACAGCCAGTTTGCTGTGTAATACATTAAAAAATTAATCATGCACTCAGTTTACACACTCTTGTTTTGTCCACACAAAAAAAGTTGTGCTGGCACTTTTAAAATGCTATTTAATACTCTTACACCACTTTACAGGCTGGTAACTTCTCCTGTCAGTGATAAGGTCCGCAGCAGGGCAATACCTAAACTTTTAATTCAGAAACTCATTAAATGTAAGACAAAATTTGAAAAAAAAACTTTATTACTGAATCACAGCCTTGATTTTTATAAGCCCAGATTTTAACCAGGCTGCTGCTTTCTTAACTGCCTACTGATTTGTGTTCATCAGGCTATATTTATATAATTTCTGTTAGAGTAATGTTTAAGGCTACCAGAAAAATTCATTCCAACCCTTCTTTTTGCAGTGACCTTTCCGTGCAGATGTTCTGCAGAGAACCCAGTCCCCAGAAAACCCGACGGGGATGAGCCAGGAAATGAAATGCTGAGAATCTCAGGCTTGATCTGGAAGGCAGCCAGGGCACACTCCCGAAAGCAAGCAGCAAGGCTTCTGCCTTGAATATAGGTCACCACTCACTTATGGAAATTCACTGCTCATGTGAAGAGTGCCATGAAACAGTGCTTTAGGGAGAAAAGGCAAATATATAAAGCTCTCTGTGCAGTAATTACAATGGTGAGAGGGGGAAGGCTCCCAGTTGCTTTGGCTTTTTCTAATCCTTTTTCACCACCTCTGTAAAAGCTAGGCATGTTAACATCTGACATCACTGGAGAGATTCCTCGAGGGCACATTTCACTTGGAAGCATAGTTTAAATACAAAATTTCTTGATACAAATAAAGCATCTGTCTTTTCTTTTTAAACAGATTACACCAAAGAAGTTGTTCCAGGCTAAATTCTATTTTCAAGGTGAGGAGATGTCAGTGAGCTAATCTCTCCATTGCCTCCAGATCCCTGCCCACAAGCCTGCCTGCAGCAATTGATGGGGATCATTACACTCCTGAGGAATACAAGCACAAACACAGATATTCATTGTGGAGATCTGACTTCTCATGGGCTCTACTGACAAAAACTGCAGAGCATACTTACTGTTTGCATGTCACCACACAATTCAATATGCTGGTGTTGTACTCTGAAAACAAGGAAGAAGTAACTGCTGTGATCAGAGCTGATGAACTTTTTCATCTGTTTTCATTTCACATCATACTCATCAGAAGAACATTTTCCTTCTTGTATATCATTAGTTCCAGAACAGTAATGCCCAGTTCTCTGCCACTTTTTGATCCCATGTTTTGGAGATCCACCACCAGCCACATAATGACCTGCTCTGCTGGCCACTGTCATCACAGTGTGCCAATATCCTGCACGTTCAATGACCCTTAACATATCTCAGGCATGATGATGCAAAGAAAATGTGAGTGTTCAAGGACAGGTCTCAAGAGAGAGCACACTAAAAGTCTTGTATTGGTGCTTCAGTCTCAGATGAAGCCATCAAGATCTTTCATATTGGCTATCTGTTCTGAAAAGAGAGCATCTCCTCTTGATAGTGGTCCTGTTCCTGCCTTTCCATCCTCCAAAATGTATACACTGCCCTTTGCATTTACACTCTGTTTTTTCTTAGTCCCTGCATGCATTCCTCTCTGTAACACTAAATCTTTTGATAAAATCACTTTTCTGTCCAACTAACAGTTGCAGTTCCCAGAAACGCACTCCTGATAAATAATGCAGCTGGATTGCATGATGCACACCCGTGCTACAGTCTAGCACTGTAGCTTTGGGCCTCAATCTGTAGTTCCTCCTTGTCTGTGACAACAGGTACTATAGAAAAGGGCCTCTTATCCACCTGCATAACAGAGCTGTAAAAGGAAAGGATTCTGCTTGGCAGACAAAAGTAGGGCATCAGGCCGCAATCTCATACAGTCTCAGTTCTGCCTCAACATCATGATTATTTCATCTTGCTGAGAAATACTCTGGTTGGAGACATGCTGCATCTTAGTTCAGTTACTAGCAGCTAAGAGGAGAAACTCATATAAGTGAGTTTCAGATCCCAAGTCTGATACATCTTAAATACAATTTTTAATACAACTGTCAAGACAAAAGGCTTTACTGGCCAATGACCATTTCTGAATAAATACATCAAGGATTTAGGGAGGACATAGGGACCTTCATCCAAAATTAAACTGGAAAACAAAACCAAAACAAAATAACCAAAAACCAAACCACTAGCTCTGACTCTTTGGGAATTTTTTCCTTATAGTTACTGGTTTAAATTCCTTCACTCCTAGATGTGCAACACTCAGCATGCATAGAAGTGCCTTGCTGCTAACCTGGTTGAACAGGTTGCCATCCAAACCTAATCAGTAATCAAAGACTTGAATACAAATTCTCTGTTCTATCAATTACCAGCCAGCCAGACAAATCTTCCAGTTAAATCTTCCAAGCTTAATACAGTTGTTTACAGATTTTTCTGAAAGTGGTCAGCATTTCATTGCAGGTGCCAGTTGCAACCACAGCCCTTTCTGTAACATAAATCCTGAATTGCCTGTCACTTGTGCTCCAAAAAACCTCCCAATGCTCTAGCCAGAGTCTGGGCTCCAGCACTCCACTCAGCACTTTTAGCATTCTCACAGCCCTGATTGCCAAGATGGAGACAGGTTTGCTGTGAGCTCATCACATGCTGAGAAACTTTGTTCAGGCTTTGTGCAATGACACATACAATGAACAGTCCATGGGACTTGTCTACAAAGCCTCTAGCTCCAAAATACAAGCCTCCACCTATTTAGTACAGGAATAGCTCCATTAGATTATAATATCAGGAAATTATGTGCTTTATCCAGACACCTATAGGAGAAGAGTACAATAATATGTGTCTATTGAGAAAAAAAAAAATAATAAAATGCTCAAAAATCCCTAGTGGAAAGAGCTCATGGACCTTGAGTTCTCAAGGGGCAAATTATTTATGATCCACCATTCTGAATTATTTCTCCTCTGTTCATCTTTATGGTCTAGAGAAGTATTTCTATTATGCAGCTCTAGTTACCTAAAAGTTGGATGTCTAGTCAGAGCTGATTGTATAAGGTCTCTTAATAGTAGATATGCAGACAGCTCCAGAGGAAAAGCCACCCCTCCCACTCAGGCACCTTCCTTAGACTCTTCCTATTGAGCAGAGAAGCTGAGATGACTAGTTCAGACTAGGCAGCTGCCTTAAAATGATGGGTCCCCAGGCACCACCCTGTGTATGTAACTAGGCTCTGGTGTGGGTGCAACAGAGAGCCTGTTGCTGACCCATGCTGGGCCAGGGCTTGTTGCAGGCAGGGCACCCTGTCTGATCCTGCTCCCACTCCCAGAGTTGCTCCAGAGCCACAAGCACCTGGCTGAGGAAGCAAACTTTCTGAGTGGGGTTGAGTGGAGCAAGAGATTAACTGTCTGGGAAAGATGGTGATGGTGATGATGATGGGGTGAAGGAGAGACAAGAAGAGAGTAGTGGTCTCTCCTCTCTCCTCTCCCTCTCCCGTTGACATTGGCAATCACATTGACAGCCAGGTATTGTAAATCCCATCACACAGGTCTCACACTTCCATCCTCATACAAGCTCATTTGTTACTGTGAGGGGGCATGTGAGAGATGTGGTTGCCAAAGCAAAGCTGTTGGAGGGAGGAGAGGCAGTGCTACCCAATCTGCAGACCAGAACATGCTGCTCCCCATGCTAGAGAAAACAGCCTCCATGAGGTATTTATGGGAAGGACAGGAAGACAACCAGCATTCAGATATCCTGAATATGCAGATTTATATTTGGAGGCTGTTAGAAATAAAATATTTTAAAGCAATCACATTAAACAGGGACTTCTTATGAATTTACTGCAATGAGACCCAACTGAAAAGAATCATGAGTGCACACTGCAGGTTAATCAAAGGCAGCTTCTTCTTTTGGCAGCTACATTCTTCTGCTGGTCTTTTCCAGGAAGCATTTATTACATTGTTTTTCTTTCTTTTTTATTTTCTTTTTCCTTTCTTTTAACTATATATGTGCAACTCCCACTCTCAGATTTTCTAAAAGTTATATCACACCCATATATACATGGAGAAGAAAATGGCAAAGCTGTAACATTTCAGATGCTACTTTGACAAATGGGTTTCCAGTAGTTTTGATTGAGACTTTTTTATATCTTCTGTACAAGGGGCTGATGGATCCTTTTTTTTTTTTGCAGACACTGGAGGTAATCCTTTTAAGAAAACCCCCTGAGCTAGCAGAAAACCTCAGAGCAGCCCCTTTGTCAAGTGGCTGTGCAGGCTTGTTGATATATTTGTTCTGGGGACAACGCCTCTTACACACTGACCAGCTGGGACACATTTGGAAACATTTAATGGACAGATTCAGCATTAAGTGGTGGGGTTGACTGCAGACTGCAGTGCAAGAATGTAGTATTTAAGCCAGCTTTCAACAAGCCCATGTCATTTTGAGATGCCATTTACCTGGTAACATTCACCTTGGGGAAACACAGATGTAGCCTGTGCTCTCATTCACCCAGGCAGATCACCTCACACAGCTTCAATGACAGCTGAGCCATCACACAAGCCCCGATGGCAGAAGTTGCAAGAGAAGCACTAAATCGAAGCACCACCATTTAGCAGGACAGTGTCCCTGTCTCTCTATGTGCTGCTCCTGCTGGAGGTGGAATGGATCTATCTGTGTGGGGAAAGACTTGTAGAACTTCCCAGACCCTCCTGCTTCTATGAGCCAGTGCTAGAACAAATCCAGGGGGGATGCTTGGTCCTCTGGTACAGAAACAGGGCTGACATTGGCTGCACTCTCTGCATAAGCACCACACTTTCCCTAAATCATTAATTTTTAACTTCTCTCAGTCTATGCCAGGAACTGTAAAATAACTCATACTCAACTTGAAAAAGAGACTGAAATAAGCCAAGATATTATCTTTCCTCTGAAGAATTTTAATCTCCAAGGCCTAGTAGGTACAGTAGGACTGTTTGCACATTTCACCACCTCTGTCCTTTCTTTCTAGCTCCTCACTGGACTTCTCTCATCTCAGAAACTCCCAAATAATTTTCTTCTTCATGTTCTTATGCCATTTCTAAAATTTACTCTCTGAACTTTCAGCTTGTTTAAATTTCTCTTTCTCTCCTTTTTCCATTTCTAGAAAGGTATAAAGGCTAAATGAGGTGAATGAGAGTTTAACCCTACAATGTATTTGCACTTTTCCAATCAAGCCCTGGTTCTCAGACTCAAAATTCTTACATTAAAGTTTCTCCTTCAATAGATATAGATTAGAATAGATAAAGCATATCTTAGAATAGATGCAGCTAACATGCCTAAAATTTTGAAGGCAGATTTCTGAGTTCCTTTCAGCCTTCTAGGTAAAAAACTACTTCTGGCTCTTCTCTCAAGATACATCAAGTGGTCATGCTGTCTTCTTTTAAATCTTCCCCTGAAATATGTTTCTATCTTGATTTCTTATCCACGTTTAGACTATTTATTTTAAAATTTTTAGTTCATCTAATAAGTTTACATGGAAGGTATAAATGAGATCAAAAGCCTACTTTGGTTGCTTTTATATGCCCATGCAAAGCAGTATATTTTATAATCTCAGTGCTTTTCCCCCTTAGATACAGTGTCTTTAAAAGCAGTTGATACCATTGCAGCATGTTCTCTACACCTGCATTATAAGCATCACTCATGCTGTCCCAGGCACTCGGGGACATTCTGGTGACATTAAGATGGGCACAGCACAGCAGAAGGGAGGTGGGGTGTTCTGCACCTGGGCTTAGGCATGAGACATTGTTGTTCTTGTGCCACACAAACCTGCCCCTCCAACTAGCTGGAATCCACCCAGAGTCTCCAAGAAGGGATAAAATAATGCTTTAGTTGCAGCATGAAAAGAATCCCTGCTGTACAAAAATCCATAACTACCCAACCCCTGGCAGGGGCTGGCAATTTTGCTGGAGGTCTTGCTCATGACAGCTTCTCTGTCCAGGTCAGGAAAAGGTGGGTGGATGGAATAGCCCTGGGAATACCACATGCTGTCAAAAATGCATTCAGTGAATGGTTTCCATCTTCCATGCACTTTCATAATGATTTTTCACAGCATATCAACTGGAGAAGGTCAGGATTTCTTCTGGTTAAAGGATATTGGTAGTCTGTGGAGAAACACACTTTTCTTGCAAACTGAACAGTTATTACAGGGGAATTTTAGTATAACTTTGATTAGAAAGGGTCTGTTAGGTACAGACAGGTAAATCTCATCTAAGAATTTTGTTTTGTTTTAGTCACAGAACAAAATTCACATTTCCTAAAACAAACCAAACAAACAAACCAAACAAACAAACAAAAAAAAAAAACAAGGTGAAAGAGAATGAGAGAAAACAGAGAGAAGGTAAGGGTTAAGATCTGATAAATGTTGGAGACTGTGACCTATTACTTATGAAATTACTGTGCTGTGAAAATAAAAGTTTGTTCTGTTCTGCTTAGGAATGTAGGTACAGAAGACAAACAGCATTTCTTCTGTTCAAATACAGCTTTTCAATGGATCAAATACATTGGTAAACATCACAAGCTATGTTCTAAAAATTTTATTCCACCAAATTCTTCTCAGTTTCTTTGGCCATCTCTTGTTATTGTCTTAGTGGACACTAGCTTACAACTTTTCTATGTATACTGTTTGTCTCGCTGCTATTGCAGAACAAAGTACAGCCATCCAAGATAAGTCTCCAGTGATAAGATGATTCAAAACTGTTCATATGACTTATGTGCTACCTACAGATATTTTATTTTGCTTCACAGCTGCCTTTCCAGATTTTATCTAATTGCTACTTACCATAGTATTTGTTGTGTGGGTGTATTGCTAGTGAACACAGCCTAGCTAGATTTACTTTAAAATGCTGTGAATTTAAACTGCAGCAAGTTATTATGCCTTATCAAAGTGCAAATATTATGTTCCTACCCACTTGCCTCTTGCAGAGCTGCAGGTCTTTAGACTGGAGTCCCTTCTTCCTGCCCAGTTAATATAAAAGCCTAGGCAGAGAATTAGGTATCTATTTATGTTTGGAAAATAAAATCAACGAGTCCAAAAGGAATTTAACCAATATTTTGAGTTTGTGTGCACATATATAGCTGTGGTGTATGTCAATAAAAGTTATTTATCCAAAAAATTCCTTCTTTCTCTTTCCTATCATTTCCTCAAGTGTGTCAAGTGCACAATAAAGGTCTCCTATTAGAGGAGTCAGAACAGGAATTCAGTGAACCAAAGTCTACCTATTTTGCTTTGGCAGAGCAACCCATGAGAAGGTGGTACAAGATGATGTCAGCCCCCAGGACAGTTCGAAGCTGCCTTCCCTTCAGCAACCTCCCATCCTGTCCTTGCTTTTCTGGTCTGACAGTCAGTGCAGCTCAGAGTCTGGCTGTGTAGATGAATTTTAACAAAGCCCTTTGAAAATTAATGTGACCACTTCCATTCAGGAACCACATGAATTTTACTCAGGACATGCACTGACATACATGAGACCTAGCTCTTAGAATACAATGCTGGAAATTTTCTTCAGTTGGTGGGGATTTTCGGCCTTTTTTCTTCAGTTCCTATTGCAATTTTTGTCATAACCAAA